ATAATCTGTGGAGAATCTGATATGATATAACCCTTCTGATCTGATAATCAGTTCAGTTAATGGAATGGTTCCAGCAAACCCAGATGTGTCAGGACCATCAGCCTACAACACAGAAGAAAGTTACTGCATTTAGAGTGTCTTCTATCTTTTATCTTCTTAAATAACTCGAATCATTACCTAACATTCTACACCTAGTTAGGAAGTCAAATATTCTGTGTTTTGTGCTGAAAAACCCTAAATGTTGAAGTAGCAATTTATGCAATATTATATGTATAAGCATGACAGCGATATTTTAATGTAGACCTACCTTTGTATTGTTAATTTGCATGTTTCTTGTAATAAGCCATCATCAGGGGCTGGGGATTTAGCTTAGCAGCAGAAGCTTGCAAGCAGGCAGTCGTGAGTTCGATCCCTGGTACCAATGAAAAGGAAAAAGACAAAAAAAAAATAAGCCATCATCAATTTAATATTTACCTACTGTTGATTATGTGAGTTTCTGATTATGCAATAAATAAAACAATTACTAAATATTCACACAGATAAAAGCCATCTTAAAGTATATCTTTAATTTTTTCTGATGAATAGAAACAAAAGTAGACTCAAAATACATATAGGGTAGAAAAAAGATATTAAAATTTGGGGGACTTTTGCATACTACCAAAACGTTCTTCAAAGGCTGTAAATTTCATGATGTGATCAACAATGTTTGATAATTGGAAGCACTGTGTATTGATTTGTTTAATTTTTTTTTACTTGGGCATAGTGTTGCATACCTAAGTCCGTGCATCTGGGAAGCTGAGGCAGGAGACCACCTGTGAGACCAGGCTGGGTTACATAATGAGTTCAAGACCATCCCTAAGTACATAGCAAGACTGTCTAAAAAATCAATTATATATTTTATAACTATGACACATTCATTCATTCACTTTTTCCATCTTCTTTTGCTTTGGCATGGGCTCAGCACTCTACAACTGCTTCTGCTAAGTTTCCTTCAAACTCTGTGCTGCCAAATCCAAAACATGATTTCCATTCTTATTGAAGTGGTTGACTCCTCGTGTTGTATTCTTTTCTGTTTCAGCCTCTTTCTCTGGCTTTGTTCACACCACACTCTTCTCATTTTTCTTTCTGCCCTGTAAGGAAACACCTGTTTTTTTTCTTCTTGTCTGAGTCTCTTGACCTCAGATGTCAGGATTGTTTTTGCCATGTGCACTTTGATTTTTCTTTCTCTAGGACGGCTCATGAATTCTGAGAATTTGATGATGATCCCAGATGTGGAGACATGAGGATCTCCACATCTCAGACACATATTGCCATTTTCCAAGGTATATTCTCACATAGATATCTCCTGGGAACTTCAAATCCACTTCTGAATAAGAAATTATTGCTTTTAAATTCAATGTACTTATTCTGGAGTATTTCTTATTCTAGGGAAAGGACGTGATATTTACACCATTGACTTGAAGTTGGGACTTGAGAACTATTAACAAGAAAAAAAATAGAGCAGAAAGTGTAAGAAGATGCAGCTGAGCAGTTGTGCATGTATGTGAGCCCTGGCTTGCTCAGCATTGATTTCACCTAAGTACAATTAAAATTACACTGAAATTGCCGATCTTTATACTTCTCCAGCATAGGAGGAGGAAGTAAATAGTAAACATTTAGCCATGAATACTTGCTGTTTGTCATTTAGCTTCTAGTTGTGGCAAAATATGTAGAATATAAAATATACGATTTAAAATTTTAAATGTCTAATTCAATGGCATTAACACCTGTCTTTTGGGCAACACCACCATTATATTTTATCACAATTTTTAACCAAGCCAAAACAAACATACTTCCATGCAATAAGCAGCTGCCCATTTTTCCTACCCCTGAGCCTATGACAGTGGTGGTGAACCTATAGCATCCACAAGGGCTGATTGCATCATTTAAAGCTAAAAAGTTTTGCCATTGCTGGTCTACAACAATCACCCTTGTGCATTCCAAAATTCTATTTTAGGGACCTCATGCAGGTGGAATCATATTTTGATTTGTGTCTACCTATTTTGCTTAGCAAAATGTTTTCCTTGTTAATCCTTGTTATTGGACATATATGCACTTCATTCCTTTTGATGCTAAATAATTCAGAAAATGAGTTAGGAATTGCTTCCATTTTTTCCACTTTTTAGAACAATGTGGGAGTTCTGACACTCTTCTTTAGATATTTGTTAGAATTCACCATGACATTAATTCAGGAATTTTCACTATGGTTCTTGATCCAGTTTCCTTTCTTACTATATGTCTGTTCAGATGGCCATTCCTGCAAAAATTTCAGAGAGCCAAATAAAGTAAGGTAACACTAAATCTTCGGAGCAACTGAGAATATTTCTATGATGGCATTCTAGAATGAATGCCCTGTTTTTGTTCTTAGATTGTGATATCTTAAGGACACTATCTGAGACAGAATGCCCATCTTGAAACAAAAAAAAGTCTTCTAATAGTTGATATTTGACTTCAGCAAAGTTGCCAAAAGTGTCAAGGGTGAAATATTCCCAGAACTTCAGTTTTAAGACAATAAAAAGCTATGTGTGTATCCTACTCACTTGTAGTACTGGATGAAACTATTTCTGCAAAATAAAGACAAGGGATTTTCAGTTTTCAGAGCTAATACATTTTTGGTAAATGTAATGAAATTGCTCTCCATGAAACACAAACTGGGTGCAAACCAGCATCTTAAGCACAAAAAGCTTTTTTAGGATTTAAGCACTGAGAATATGAGAATTGTTAAGGATTAATATAAATTCCTTAATAATAAACATGTTTATTTATTTTTATCGGTACTGGGGATCGAACTCACAACCACATGCTTGCAAGGCAGGCACTTACGCTGCTAAGCTAAATCCCCAGCCCGTCATATTTATTCATTGACATAACTGTCTCTTCATGCTTTAATCTGTTGGTACATTTTCATTTAAACTGATCTCCAATTTACTATTAAATACTGAGACCCTAGAAATGCCCCAAGTTTTTCTTTTCCTGAAAAGCTGCAGTAGAGAAAATGTAAGGTGCATTGTACCAGTGAATATAGAAGGGAGATGACAGGACCTGAGAGTGGGGACAGTGATCAGGGGACCTTGCCACCTTCACCAAGAATTGAAGGATAATCCTGCTGGAGAATTGGTTCAAGATATTTTTCAGGCTGTCCACACAAATTTAAGCCTGGTCAATAAGGAAGGGAAGCAGAGTTTTCCACTGAAGATTGCTGAGAGAATGCACTGCATTGCAAGAGGCGGTACATGACAATTAGAGAAACTCCAGTGCTATACATGCCAAACTGCAAAATGGTGGAAACCTGGATTCATCCAGGATTTAAATCTGCAATAGAAAAAAATTCTGATCTCAAGACAGATGAGAGTTGCTGGCAATGTCCAGGAATGGTAACCCAGGCAATGTCAGGAAAGACCATCAGTCAGACCATCCTTTATATTTCATGGAAGTCCAAAATCTATTCAACAGTGGGTGAAAAAAATAACAAAGAGGATTGAAGGACCTTAAATGGGATTTGTAGCACTGAGCAAATGCAGTTTTAGTTAATTATTAGTATTAGGGTTGTTATCAGTCAGGAAATTCCATTCCTTTTTCATTGTAAAGGGTGGTGCTTCTGCTTTCTAAGGAAACACAAAACTGATAACATTAATTGTAAAAGACCAAAAAGTAAATGGCTTAAAAATCACTTATTGTGGGGCTGGGGATTTAGTTCAGTGGCATAAGCACCTGCCTTGCAAGCAGGCGGTCATGAGTTCGATCCCTGGTACCGATAAAAATGAAAAAGACAAAAAAAAAAAAAAAACACACACACAAAAAAAATCACTTATTGTATTGTTTTTCAGAAACAATATTTACAGTTTGCAGTTTTTAGGATGCATCTTGTATGACATACTATACCACTGATTTTAGTTATATCCTTTCTTTTTTTACTTCATGTATTAAAAATCTTCCAATTTAAAATAATCAATAAAAAAATGTTCATTTTAATTGTTTCATCACATGCCAGTGTATCAATGGATCAAATTTTTCTCAACTATTATCCAATTTATAGAAATAAAAAAATTTTCCTAGTTTTTATTTTGTACAAATAATGTTGAGCAAGTATTTTTCTGCATTTTTGCTTATTAATGGTTTTCTCAAATCTACATACATGTGCATATAAGTATAGATATATAAATGGGTGGAAAAAATTACGTTCGTATTGAGTGGTGTATTGAAAAATGATTTATAAAACTTATTATAGTAATTAGATATCCTGCACTCAGCAGCACACCGTTCTACCTTTCTTATTACACATGTTAAGACTATACCCTTGCAAGTATGCTGCTAAATAGTTTCACTACAAAACAAAATGAGAGAAAATATTTTTTATTTTTAAAAATACTTTCTGTTGGGTGTGGTGGTGCGTGCCTGTAATTCCAGCACTTGGGAGGCTGAGGTGGGAGGATCATTGTGTTCAAGACCAGCCTGGGGTGCAAAGTGAGCTCAAGGCCAGCCTGAACAGCACAGAGAGACCTTGTCTCAAAATTACAACAAATAAATAAAGTACTTTCATGTTTTCATATTTTTATACAGGCCAACTTTCAATTTTAAGTTATGATTTGTAATTAAGGTCAAAATTTGAAAAATATTGTGGTCATTTTTCAGTTTGGGGTGTGTGTGTGTGTGTTGTAACGTGTGCTGTTCATTATTTCAAGCAACATGTCTACATAGGGAATCCATGATGATAAAAACAAATTTAAAAGCAATAAAACAGGTATTTCCTGTTTCCTAAGCCAAATGGTAAATAATTGTTCATGGGTTCCTTGTAGTAACATAATATAGTACATAATGTGATTTTTAAGAGAAAATTTACTAAGCACTAATAGGTTCTGTTTCACTGTGTGGTACATTACATAACAATTCTCACTCAAAACAAAGGAGCTTGTTCCAGTTTTCCTCTCCCAGGAGAATCCTGCATTAACTGGCCACACCTCCCACATACTTTTGATGAGTCGCTCAAGTGGGGCTGACTTCCTGTTACTCCCTGCTCTGTGAAGACAGAGGAAGAAACAGAATCTGCTTAAGCTCAAGCAGAGGGGAGAGAGGCAATGATTTCCAGGTGGCAACGTGTGGAGCTGAATGATGGTCACTTCATGCCTGTGCTGGGATTCGGCACCTATGCTCCCAATGAGGTAACCACAGTCAGGCTGGCCTTGGGCCTGGGAAGGAGCGATGTAGGATGTGTGGGAACTGACTTGGGTTGTCAGGTTCCCCTGTTTCTGAGTGACTGCGGGGGACTCAAGTGATTCTCAGCTTCTCCAGGCTAGAGCTTTTCCGTGTACAAAAGACAGACTTCGTACTGTGTCAGGATCTGATCGTGTTGTTATCTACTATTCTTGGGCACTGATTTCTCCTTGGACTTCAGTTTCCCAGCTAGGCCTTTTAAAAATAGTTCGCTGATGTCTGAAGTTTCAGACTTAGGTATCATTTGTCATTACTCTGCATCTTTTGCAGAAATAAATATAGACACCAAAATTCTAAAATAGATGTTCTTTGCTTCATTGCTTAAGAAACTGATAGTGATTTTTATGTTTATTTATATAATCTAAGAACTTTTTCTCCTTTTAAAAATGCATATCCCAAGCAGGGCATAGTGGTGCACTTCTGTAATCCCAGCACTTGGGAGGCTGAGGCAGGAGAATCATTTGCAAGTTCAAAACCAGCCTGGAGTGCAAAGTAAGCTCAAGGCCAGCCTGAACTGCATAGCAAGACCCTGTCTCAAAAAGGAAAAAAAAATAATAATCATAGTAATAATAATGTGTATCCTGAAAACTCTCTGAGATAAATGTAACTGGACATGAGATGTATAAAAAAATAAGTATTGTTGCTCTTTTGTGAGGAATCTTGTGCGTATCATAATAACCACTGCACATGAGCCAAGTGGAATTTCCCATTTACCATTTGTAACTCTGGAAAATTTACTGAAAGAGTACATAATTTAATGTTAGGAAGAAATGGGAACTTAAGAAAACTGTATGCAAATTAATGTCCTAGACCCAGGTAATGTGAACTGGAATTAAAGAACATGGTACAGATGTTCGTCTGAAATGAACTCAGAGAAGTGGACAGTTTACTGTATCAGAGGAAGTTTTCATTCCCTTATTATTCTCAGACTATTGAATTGTGTGACAAGTGACTGGTTTCCTGACATTTGAATTCCTACTTGTCTGTCCTATGAGACATAAGAAAATATCCAAAAACAGTTGTGAAGACTTGTGACAGGACTTGGTCACTTCGTAGAGAAATGTGATGTGAAGACAGTGAAGGATCACAGACCACAGTAAACCTTCAGCTTCAGCCAATCTCTGCGCGTCCTGACACCTACGAAGCTCTGAGTGGTTAGCAGAATAGGGCTGTGTAATTTTATTAGGAAAAGAAATGTCTTTGAATAGTTATCCAAATTTGATAAAGAAAGCAACAGTTTTAAATTTTAATTTATACACTCCCTAAAATATTAGCCTTGCTGTGACACTTGACATAGATCATCTTTTATGTAGAATATTAGTGTACACTAGCAGAGGGAATCAATGCAACAGCACTGAGAGAAAACACTAAAAGTTTGTATCTGCAAACTTCTTTGCCAATAAGTAATTTTACCATGAGTCCTCTATATTCAGTGCTAGAGAAATTTAGTGTGTTTTCTTCGACTTTACTGAGAAGGACTAAAATAAATTTGGACCACTTTTCATTCAGCATGTTTTATTCTGTGTTAATTTGTGTTATAACATCACTGCATGAGTATTAACCACTGCTACAACTGTATGCTGAGTCCTGCGACTGCATCCAGTACAGCGTAGAAGCTGGAATGTTCCTGGACGCCTGCTACCCCAGGGATGCACTCTGTGATTATTATGAAACAGGAAATACACAGTCAGACTAGCATACATTCATCATCCCAGGTACAGGACTAACCCAAGGCATGAGTAAAAGGTATTTTTGTGAGATGTCTGCTTATTACGGAACTCTAAACACCTTTGGATGCTCCTCTAGGTTCCAAAGAGTATGGCTCTGGAAGCCACCAAATTAGCTATAGACGCTGGGTTCCACCACATTGATGCTGCTTACTGCTATCAAAATGAAGAGGAAGTGGGATTGGGCATTCGGAGCAAGATTGCAGATGGCACTGTGAAGAGAGAAGACATCTTCTATACTTCAAAGGTATTGTGCATATAATATGCAGGAGTGCAAATTAACAAAAAGTGGTACACTGAAGTGACTTTTCTATGATTGGACCAATAATTGCTGATGAATTATGCATGTTGGTCTGTGTTTTATTTACATATACTAGTATATAACAATTGGTATGAACAAAAAAGATAGATGCTGGCTCTCCAGTTGTGACCCTTTAATAATGCCAGTGTAAAGTGGTTTTACTGTTCAGAACTTCAAGCCAAAATAATGTGATTTACCATGAAAGTGTGGAATCAGACAGAATTCTTCTTAATTATGCATTGCCTCACTATATGGCGAAGTACCTACCAATTCTTAATAGTCCACATATCAAGCTTTGCCTTAAGGCAATGTTAAATAATGGTGAAGTTTATTAAAAACATATTTCCTTCAGTTATATAAAAAGATGCTATTTTTTTCCTATTGAGTAAATGACAATATTAGACTATTAACTACTTTATAAGCTCTCGTGAAACAACTCACAGAGTGGTTATAATTACCACTTTTATCTAGAATATAATTCTAGAATATAATTATAATTATAGAACTATTATATATATTATATAGATATATATCTATATGTATTATATAGATATATATCTATAATTATAGAATTATAATTATAGAAATCTAGAATATAATTTATCTAGAATATAATTCTATAATTATAATTACCATTTTTATCTAGAATAATTTCCTTCCATTTTTCTTCAGATTTGCTGATCATAACCAAACATAGAACAGCATTTGTATGAATGGATGTGATCGAGGGAAATTCAGGATAGAAGAGTGTTTTTCCCATGGTCATGAGTTTCTAACAGTGGAAAAATGCCTGAATATCATCTGAATGTACTTAGTCAATATTTCAATCTATAACAACTTTCATTCTTTGACATTTTCAGCTTTGGTGCACCTTCCATCGACCAGAGCTGGTCCGACTTTCCTTGGAAAGTTCACTGAAGAAACTTCAGTTGGACTATGTGGACCTCTATCTTATTCATTTCCCAGTGTCCATGAAGGTAGGCAACTGCTTCATCAAGAATATTTAACATCAGCTGTCATCACGACCTTTAAGTTCATGCATGGTTGAACTTGGTTATTATAGATTTATATAAATTCAATTTATGCTTTATAGAAACTACTCAAATTATTTTACACAAAAATGTTTATTGGGTAATGTGAATGAGAAATAAATACAGGGCTAATTGATGGGTTTGGAGTACTCTTCAGTAATATTTCTGATTATCATTTCCTTAGCTCTGTATTTCTGAAAGTTTCCTTCATTTTTCCACATCTTTTCCACTGACAGCAAACAAAGTCTTGTGCTGTCAAAAGTTCATAAGCATTAATTTTGATATGTTGCCAGTAATTTCTCAAGAACCTTTACTGACCTTTGCCTTCAGTTTTATGACCTTTAGTATTCTGGCTTAGGAATGGGGGGAAAGCACACACAGTCAAACACAAATCACTAAAACTTTACTTGACAAGCTATTCTACCCAAAGAGAGGAGTCAAACTCATCAGTATGCCTCAACAAAGGAGGCCTCCATAACCACATACCCCATGTTGAAAAGAACTCATCCTTAGCGAATGAATGGATTCCATACATGGTGGCACGTGCTATATACCCATGACTTGGGAGGCTGAGACAGAAAGATCACCATGAGTTCGAGGCCAGCTTGGATTATGGAGTTTAAGACCCTGTCTCAAACAAAACAAAACAGAAAAAGAATGAATAGGCAGTGCTTCCTGGTGGGGCCCTGGCATTTATGGTTACCTCACTCGCAGTCACAGAAAGGGCTCAAATGTATCTCCTAACATTACTTTCGGTAGTTTCGGTGCATTTCCAGAATTTGTGCCTGTAGGCTATTGCATATTTGCTGACAGAAATTAGCTTCTTTGATTTTGAAACAAAATTATTTAGAAGAGTTGTTCACATTCTAGTGTCCTACCTGCTTTCCTTATTCTGTGCTTCTCTTTTACTTAGTTTATACTTATCTTATAACTGAGGGGAAAAAGAAATAAAGAGATTAAGGGAAAGGAAGGGAAGGGAAAAGAAAGGAAGACAAAACATGACTTTGAAGGACTATCCATGGCCATATGTGTGATCTTTAGCTGTTCACGAGCTCTGCAAGAGGAAGATTGTTTCTTTAGCCTGGGTCAAAACTAGAATCCACTGTTACTTGAGATTCCATGTCACTGCTAACTTTCTCATGTAAAAGAACCATTTTTCCAGGTGAATGCAGAGGTAGAAAAAGCAATAAGTCAACTGAGACTTACAATAAGGACCTGGGAACAGGTTATAGATTAACATATTTATAGGTGCATAAGAATAGATGAAATGTGTCTCTTAAAACATTCCTAACAACACCATAAGCAAAACATTTTGAAAACATAAGTGTGTAGAATATTGCTCAATCTGTTTTATGGAGACTTTGTGTCCCAGTCGTAGATTTACTAGAGTGTAGGTGCAGGTGTGGATATGAATTTTATAAGATGGTTTTAATGACTGTGTCTGTTCCAGCCAGGGGAAGATTTGTTCCCAATAGATGAACACGGAAAAGTAGTATCTGATACGGTGGATCTCCGTGCCACCTGGGAGGTGAGTACTCAGAACAGAGACCACAAAGGAGGAAAGAGAGAAACAGAAAGAAACCTGCAGGTCAAGTCACATCTCTACCTGTAATGAGATCTGCACCACTGGATCAAGAAACCCATGACCTTTTCAAGGATTGTCTAATGACCCACAGGCATGGATCATTAGGTTATAATACACCAACAATCAGGAAGGATGAGGGGAAACCGAAACAGTCACTTTTTTTCCTCCATGTAAAATAGTCTCTGATTTCTTAAGGAAAACGCAGCTTTTTTCTTGGTTATCATATTCTGTCAATATTTTTTACTAGTTTAGCATCAATTGCAATCATTTAAATTTTCATTTCTTGACAGTGTTCCTTTTAACAGTACTATCATGCATGTACATCAATACAGAGCCAACAGCACAAATTATTTTCCACCATCGTTTCCTCCCAAGGCCATGGAGAAGTGTAAGGATGCAGGACTGGCCAAGTCCATCGGCGTGTCCAACTTCAACCGCAGGCTGCTGGAGATGATCCTGAACAAGCCAGGCCTCAAGTACAAGCCTGTCTGCAACCAGGTGAGAGCTCTCAGCCTCCTTTTCTTCTGCCATTCATTCCCTCTTTTCTGTATTCTTGCCAAGTGTCCATCTGTTTTCCTCTCCTATTCACCTTAATTTTGTAGAGCAGAAAATATAGAGAGATCTTCATCATATCTCTGCTTTATAAAATCTTAGTGAAAAGGATTGAGAGATTGTAAGGCTAAGCTGTGTGTAAGAATCTAGAGGTATAAAGGCGATGAAGGTGGATATTGTCATTAATTAGACCTGGGAGAGAAAGTACACATCCACACATGCTGAGAAGCATAACCGGACATGGAATAGGTTAAATGCTCTTCAGATAAAGGTTGCAGCAAAAATAAGAAATGTGGTAGGAGTTTGAGTGTAGTCCTCATGGCTAAGACATTCATCCTGACATCTCTGCTTTCGGGGACTGGATCAGAGACACAGCTACAGAGAAAAATCACTTGGGTAACATGGAAGTCCTGCAGATTAAGGAAAGTCAGCTGTTCACTAAACATGGACGAAGTTGACACTCAGGAACTTTGACCAGAGTGGCTCTTTGGCCTGGTCCTATTTCAGCTTCTCTTCCCTGCTTTGTCATCAAATCTACCACTTAATCACATCTATTCAGTGCCTGGTCTGTGCTCTCACTTGTGTTTTTTTTAACAACATTCAGTCATGGAATATGGATTCATGATACGAAAATATAGCTTAAAATGCATGAATTTGGTACATAATGGCAGAGCACCATATTTCCAAATATAAATATTAAAAACAGTGTGGTTTTAATATCGATTTTCTCCTTTTTCTTATGATGACCATGTTTAAATCTTTAGACTCATTCAAAGAACTATGTGCAATCTCCATATTTTCCCAACTATATCAGAAATTGTTGACAATTTCCCATCTTGTCACATGTAAGTGTATGCTGATGTACTTTCAAATATGTGTTTAATTGTTGACTGAACTATTCAAAGTAAATTCCAGATATGACTTTCCTCCACTAGAGACCTGAGTAAGAAAATATATCCTCAAAATGAGTGTATTCTCCCATACGGTTACAGTTCCATTCCTAAATCTAGGGCAGTTAACAGTTCATCTTTCCTATCACTTAATGTCCAGCCTGCGTTCAAGTTTCCACTGTTTTTCCAAAATATCTTATACATTTCTTTTTTAGTCAGGATACAATAATGGATCACTCCAAGATGTTTTTGGAAGGGTACCTGGATTCATACTCACCACTTCACACTTGCCAGGCAGGCATGCTGTGCCACTGAGCTATATCTCCAGTTTTCCCAAGTTCTTTTAACCTACAATGATCAATCATTTTCACCAGGCTATCCAAGCAGGTTTGTCATATATTCCAGACTGATCAGTTGTTGCCTTGTGATGGGAGGTGCATATTATTTTATTCTAAGTTTCTGCACATTCAATTTTTTATTAAATTATGGATATATACTTGGTCAAGAAAATTTTCTTAACATCCAGTGACTCTCTTTTTTTAAAATTTTTTTTTAATTTAAAGAAAGATTAAACAAAACAAAATAGGTAAAAATAGTACATACATTTAGAGGAAAAAAAAAGAGTAAGAAATCACTAGTTGATGTCGTTTTACCAATAGTTGTTCAAAGTACAAAAATGGAATATGTAAAGTGGGAATTCAAACAGAGAGACTGCAAAAAGTTCTAATCAGCTGTCCAACAAAAACTTAGTATCATGGTTGTCAATCCTATACATTTAAACATACATGCAGTTATCCATATCTTCATTTATGTTTAAATTAAACAAACTAAAGCAGGTTAAAATCATTTTAAACAAATAATAATAGTATTGCTGGATTTCACTTCATGACACTCCATGATCAGCACTGGGTACTGTAGTGTCTTCTTTTTAAAACTGAATTTAAAGAAAGACTAAAAAAACCGGAAACGGGTAGTAATAATACATACTTTCAAAGAAAAATAAACAGTAAGAAATCACTAGTTAATGATTACAGACTGTCTTCTTACAAATAGTTATTCAAGATACTAAATTGGAGCATATAAAGTGGGGATTCAAACAGTGAGACTGCAACCAGTTCTGTTCAACTATCCAACAAAAACTTAGAAATATGGTTATCAATCCTCTACACTTAAACATATATGCAGTTACCCATATCTTCAATTATGTTGACTTTCAATAAACCCAAGCAGGCTAATATCACTCTGAACAAAGAATAACACTGTTGCTGGGTTTCACATTATGACACTCCAGGATCAGCACTGGGTATTTTAGTGTCTCCTTTTCTTCAAAGTATCTGTTGATTTCATCAATTGTCATAAGATCAGTTCTCATAAACTGTTCACAGATTCTACACATGCATGGGTCTTAACATGTATTTTTTTTTTTAATTTTGAAAGTAGCAATTGTGCAACAGCGTAAGACAGAACAAAGCCAATCGAGACAATGCTGTGAAATTGGTACAGGATTTCACAGTAGGATACTGGGATAGTAGTACTAAGTACTATGGTATATCTTTTTAATTTAACAAGAGCTATCCAGTCAATTACATATTGTTAAATCAAACCAAAAATACAACATTGTAAAACGAATTGAGAATGCTAAATAGAGCAAAAGAAATATAACAAAAAGTGAAAACAACCTATGCCTTCAAACAGAAGATAGAAGGAAATCCCCCATATTTGCTATACTGCATATGGTCATCCTCCCAAGAGATGTTGAAATATCTATCCCCAGTAGGTAAGGGGGGAGGGGGCAGGTGGAAGAAGGGTGCTTGATTTTCAGCTCCCATGGAAGTTGGCTCACACAGGTAATGGTTCTCCTCCAGGCCCAAACTACAGGTGCTTATCAAGAGGGCAGGTGAATAAGCTGCCCGAATCCCTCCATGGCCGGAACTCTGGAGCACTGTTCTCCTCCTGGCCCGAGTTGCAGACGCTGGCCCACGTTGCAGACTCTTACCAAAAGGGCGGGTGAATAAGTTGCCTGAATCCCTGCATGGCCAGAACTCTTGAGCTCTGTTCTCCTTGCCCACGTTGCAGACGCTTACCAAGAGGGTGGGTGAATAGGCTGCCCAATCCCTGCATGGCCGGAACTCTGGAACTCTGTTCTCCTCCTGGCCCGCATTGCAGACGCTTACAAAGAGGGCGGGTGCATCCACTGACTCTCAAATGCACCTTCCACAAATTCCACATGCAATGACAGATTGTCCCATACTGACAATCACAGATTAGAACACATGGTTAAATAAATGGAAGCCACAACTCCTCTATATAAACATATTTCATTCCATTGCAATTGCTATGAACTTGCTGAGTGACAGTTATTTACCATGTAAGTCGTATTTCATAATGAATTTTTCATATAATATTTGCATATCTTTCAATGACTTTGGCCTGAATTCGCTATTTTATTAAGGCTATAATTAATGGTCTTGATTTAAAAATATTCTATTTTCCTACATGATGCTTATCTGAAAACTAAAATTTCACAGAAAAGTAATGATAAATTGCAAGTTTTCCTACACATTTGTCCATTTCACTTAACTATTCAAATTTTAATATACATATTTTACAGTATATTATGATAAGATCTGTGTGATTTGTACTGATGGTCCCCCTTTTCTTTCCATATAGTGACAGATTATTCTTTCTTATTTTTTTCTTCTCTACTCATCTCAAGAAGTTATGTATTAACTTTTTCAAGGAACCAGATTATGGCTTTGTGGAGTTTATCTTTTTTATTGGATTTCTATGCCAATAGTGACTTCATGTCAAATTTCTGCTGTTGATAGTTTCTTTAAGTGAACATTTACATTATTGGTTCTCAGGTTGCTGTTTTAATTAGCATATAATTTACAATTGGAAAAGATAAATGCACTAAAAAATTGAAGTCTTACATCTGTTAAAGCAGTAAAATTATAATTTAAATTCTCTCAAGGAAAGAAGAGTTCCAATCCACGTAACATCATCATTATTTCCTTGAAACATTTCTAGGGAAAAAAATTTACAAAAAGAATATTATATAGCTTAGATTCTTCCAGAAAAAAAAGAAATATGATAATTTCCTTGTTTTTATACTTCATACATTTAATCAAAATCTGACAAGTATTATAAAAAGGAATGTTACTAGGCAATCTGTCTAGCAAACATCTGTCATCTGAATTATCTTGAGCAAAAAAATACAATACATATTTAGCAGAATAGAATGGATAGTACATCACATCCAAGGTTGTATATATTCCAAGAATATTCTCCATTAGAAAAGTTTCTCAACGCTGATCACCCTATTCATTAAGTGAAGTAAAAACTAAAATTCTATCAATAAATACAGAAAGATATTTAATAAGATTAATTATCTATCCATGATTTTTTGTGCATGGCAATAGAACATATAGAAGTCATTGTATTTTGAGAGACAAAATATCAAAAGCCTTTCAATCACAGCCCACGGCTGAGGAAGATCCATTTCACTGTACTCAGACTTATTCTCAAGGTCCTAGAAATTGCAGAGATGTAAGCATAAGAGCAGAGACATATGGAAAATAACCACTGTATACAATTTTATTGAAAATTTATAAATGTCAAAGTTATCTGAAAATGAAATAATAAATATGTTTAACAAATTCACTGCATACAGTTGCAATATTTTACAAAGTCAATTCTATTTCTATATGCCAGGTATATATAACTATACTTTAAATACACTTTTAAAATTACAATAACTATAGTGCTAAATGCAATAAGCATCTAAAATTTAAATATTTAGATATTTAAATATAGTGAAAAACGAATAAGGATCAGTACAGATTGTAAAAATATTACAGTTATTCTTCAAGAGAATGTCGATGAGTCTATGGCACATATGTTGTTTTCCTTTAAGATAAAATATATCAATATATTTATTGCTTTTCTAAACTAAAACCTCAGTTTTTGGGTTTAATTGCAGCGTTGGCACTTTGCAATAAGAAAGTGAGTTTTGGTTTGCAGTTTGAGCACTCATCTCTAAAGTGCATGCCTTCGCTGCTCTAAGATGTAAATTGCACTCTTTTACTTTAATTATCAATAATCTGATTATTATAATAATCACTATTAGTAGAAAAGTAGTTTTATGCTTGTTGTTAAGTAATTACAAAATTTTATTTTGTATGTTAGAAATTATTTTAGTCATGATTGTTTTTGATGCATAAATCTATTCAATATTACTGGCAGAATCTCTACTAAGCTGGTTCTTTTATGTTTCAGATTTGCTCTTAACAATCTTTGAACAAATTCTTGTTCTGTGGTGCAATTCAATATCCAAAGTTCATGCATTTGTTCCCTATGCGACATGTGAAATTCATTATATGTCCCCATCACATCTTCATCCTAGCAGATTACAGACAACTTATTCAGGAATAGCATATTTTTTAACTCTTCTAATGGTAGAAATATTACAGCTAATGTTTTAAAGAATCATTACTTCGTGTTGATATGTTCCATTCAAATATCATGTTAAGCAGAACTTTTGTTCTATTCTTAAATTATAACATTTCTTCTTCATGTTAATATAATTAATATATATAAACTACTTTACTGTCCATCTACAGGTGGAATGTCATCCTTATCTCAACCAGAGCAAACTACTGGATTTCTGCAAGTCAAAAGACATTGTATTGGTTGCCTACAGTGCCCTGGGATCCCATCGAGAGAAAAAATGGTAATAAATCTGTAAGAACCACATCAAGAGTTGCTGATGGACTGCTGCTAGTCTTATAATACTGTGCCTCCTGAAGTTCTCTCTCCACCGGCTCAGGGTGGGGGTAAAATTTGCCTTTCTGAGGATATCCTGGTTCACATGAAAAGTCCTTGCCTACAGTTGGCAACTTCACCCATTTTGGAAGCCTGAACCCAGTACATAGGATCAAGATTTAAGCATGTCTGCCTTTCCTTCCAGGGTGGACCAGAACTCCCCAGTTCTCTTGGATGATCCAGTTCTTTGTGCCATGGCAAAAAAGTACAAGCAAACTCCAGCCCTGATTGCCCTGCGGTACCAGCTGCAGCGTGGGGTTGTGGTGCTGGCCAAGAGTTTCAATGAGAAGCGGATCAAAGAGAACATGCAGGTGACATGGGTCGTGGGCACAGGGTTCCTAAATGATATCTTCCACATTTTTGTTTCATTGTGAAGCTCTTAGATGTGTTCATGCCAAGCCATTTCACCTGGCATTTACTACACATGTGTGCTTTTGTGCACTCCTAAGGGCTTTGTGCTATTGTGTAGTAGCATGCTGGCTGCATAGCTGCATTTGCAGATTTGGAAAATCTTGTGTCACCATTACATCGGCAAAGTAGTACATAGCCCTGAGACAGTGACATCACCTTTCCTTCATTTTCTGGAATAAGAGAACTGGAGTTGGTGTATTTCAGCCTCCAAATAATTATGAGCCTATTTTGCAATATTCTTGAGCACATAAAGAGTTTAATATTCATTTATATAATCACTTATTCTTTTCAAGTAGGAGAATTTTATTACACCATTACTTATGGCACTTTGTATGTCAGACCATCTTTAGTAGGGAAGTTTAAAATTTTAAAACAAAAGGCATTAATTAACTTGCTTCACAATTCTGTGGTTTTAAAATTTGCCTTGGTTCTACCTGAGTTTTTCTGTCTAGGCTGGGTTTGCTCACACAGTTGCAAGTGAGCTGTTTTACATTTGTAGAACACTGAGACTCCTCTGGGGTGACTGGACTATGGTGTGGAGCATCTTCAGCTCTCTTATGTATAGTTTTCATTCACCACATACCGAGGCTCCACTAACTCAAATGATACTTTCCCAAGGCACTGAGCTAATGTTTGTAATTCACAAGCTTGAGTCTTGCACATCCACACTTCTGTCAAGTTCTAGTAACCGATGCAAATTACAGGCCAGGAAAAACTCAAGGAGAAGGGAGAGACACATCACCTCGTAGGGGGAAAAATTCACCTAATAGTGTGGAAATGTGGGGAACACTTTTATACTCAATATACCACATTTATGTATTCTGGATGTTAATTCTTTTTCAGATTTAAGTGTATTTGTTGAAATGTTTCCCCCCAAAACCTAATTGTCTTCATTGTCTTTATGCTTTATTTTCATGAGCTAACCTTCTCTCTCATAATGGTAAAGTCCAGTGGGCCTGTACTTCGTGCTCAATGGTTGTCTCATCTTTTCCTGTACTGGGAACACTGCAGTACTTTGCTACCATATCTTCAGAAGTCTCATAGTATTTCCTTCCAAACTAATTATCAATCAACCCCAGAGTTTTAGTATTATAGAAGCTAAAGATGAAAATATAGACATATGATCTATAAATGGTTATCAGATTTTCCAGCATTAATATATACATTTCTTGCCTCTTTCATCAGCTGACATATCTACTTTTCTCTATAGTCTGAACTGTATGGGAAAATCAGTCTTGCTGTCTAGAATGACTTTTTGACAATGTTAAGGTTTGTGATCTGTGATTAAAACAGATTCCAATTGCATAGATGATCTTTTAATATATTGCAATGTATTTCATAATTTTTCCTTTATATCATTTTATATATTCTGCTAGATTTATTCATAATAATCAAGATTATTTTTTTCATTTTATTTTTATTAAAACTTTAAATTTAGAGAAACTTTAAAAAAAGTAAAGCAAATTGCCTATTATCTAGGTTCATCATGATTAAATAGTTGACATTTTTCATTGTCTCTCCCTTTCTTTCTTAAATTATTATTGTAGGTTTAAGTATTCATTCTTTCACTATATTAGGAATTAGTGAAAATTGTTCTGATTTTGTAATGTCCAAACTGAGACAATGAGATCTTTTTCAGTCCAATTTCTGGATCCTTTGAACATGACAAGATTGTATTTGAATGCTTCATGACTTATGTGAAAAAGAATACTTTTTGCATTCTTTTTGTTCATAGAATACATAACCCAAAACTAGCCCATGAAAATCACTGAAATGTCTTATATATTTCAAAATTTGGCTCTAGATTTTTCTGGGTCTTCTAAGAACAAGATATTGTCATCTTTGAATAGTGGAAGCTTTATTTCTTATTCACTTTAACTTGAAATATCTTTCAGTCCGAGATGTTATACAGCTTGACTATTTTCATATAGACACGGATCTGTTTTTTAAATTTGATATTTATTACTTTATTGGTGTTTGTTTTTTGTTTTTAGCTTTATATATTTAACAACTTTCAAAACTCTTCAGATATTGTAAGTTTTGTCTCTGTACCATTTGGTGTGATTCATTTGGGATTTCTTGATTGGAAAATGTAGTCTAAATATAATAACACTTTTCTACTTTTGTGATAGGCTTTTGAATTCCAGTTGACTCCAGAGGACATGAAAATCCTAGATGGCCTGAACAAAAATATTCGATACCTTACCCTTGATGTGTAAGTAATTTTGTTAATTATGTTGCCTCAATTTATTTTCTGAGGAAGACTATAATGTAATTGTTAAAATTTACCTGAGTACTAAGAAGAATTTGCTGGTTTGTGTTAGGGATAAAACAGGAGCTTTCTGGAACTCTGTTCATAGGTTCTCTTCTGTCCTTTGTCATGACAAAAAGTCAGCTTGGACTTCCACGGAATGGCCTTTGTACTGCATTTTCCATGGAACATTCCAGATCAGCCAGTATCACTGCTACATGTACAGCCTATGTAGACCTTTGTGTTCTACAACTACTAATGGATACACACTAGATAGGATATTACCAACATGGCCTATTTAGATATTTTCAAGTTTCAAGTATAAACCATCTTTACCCAAAACTTCTCAGTTTTGAATCAGATTAAAAGCATCCCCATCAATCTTGGGGTCCACATCAGAAACTCCTAATTCTTTCATTTGAAGTTATTTACTGGATCCTGTCAATGGGATGCATTTCTTCCAAATCTCTTTGTTTCTCTAACTGCATGACTCTTCAGAACCTAAATTGCGTTTGCTTTTAGAAAGGCTGCCATTGAGTCAATCAATAGAACACCTGATCCTGCTCTTCTGAAACATGCACATTTCAATGCAGAGCATAAATCAAGGGAGCAATATGAAGGGAAAGCTGGAGAGGATTTATAGTAAACAATAGACCTTAATCTTCAATGATCCATTAATGATATAGAATCTGAGAAGGGACAAACAGTATTTATAGAGTTGAGAATTTAATGTATATTCTTTCCAACTGCATTAATTTTAATTCATAAAGGAAATAAATAGGATATTATATGAAAGAGATTTATACAGTGCAGAGCTGCATATACTCAAAAAGATGTAGATACATGCTACCATTGTGAATACTTTTATTTATATGGAGAAAAATAAAGACAGATATTATAATGCAGAGGCAGAAAGCCAAGCAATTAACAATTCCTACTACTAATTAAATGGATAAGATTATTTTATATTTTATGTATCTAATACATATCTACAAATTATATAGTGAGCTCCATGGATATGGTAGACTATCTTATAAATGTTATATTTTCCATTTCTTATTTAAACCCAAAACTAATGATTATGAATATGAGATTGAAATTTCTAACATTAATCCATACATCCTGAAATGCCTTTGTTTTGACTAAAGTCTTTATTTTACCCAGCACATAAATTCTATATTCATTGAAAATTTGAAATAAGAAAAGATGATTTAATGCTTTGGTAAATGGACTGATATAGCTAACAGAGATGAATCTGTTTGAATGTTTGGTTTTCTGTTTTGTTTTGTATCCCTGGCAGAGAAATAAAACTGATTTGTTAAAACATTTCCTTCCATAAGTAATCTGATTAAGTAGGAGACTCTCCAACCAGTTAGGAAATAACCAACTCTGTTTTTAACACTCTATTTTCTTTCTTATTCTAGGACTGCCGACCATCCTAATTATCCATTTTCTGATGAGTACTAATACCCAGGTATCTCTGATGACTTTCAGCAGAAGCTCCTGGGTGTGCATAGTGTGACATGTAAGAGTTCACTCAGTACTTCTCATATGTTTATGATGACTGTCCATTTTTATTCTGCTAGAGCTAAACTCATAGACCTAAAAGGAAGGCACTAAATTTTGTCACATTTTGAAAAATAAATATCAGTTTGCCTAACAATTCTTGATCTAGTACTGTGCCTATTACTTGCACGCAGATTTTGCTAGAATTCAGTTGTCATTGGGTGGGAGATGATACAGCTGCAGACACTTCTGTGGTGGAAGTGAGTTCTTGGCCTCAGGGAAGAAAAGTTATCAAATACTTACCTGTCAGTGCTCCTCCATCCATTACAGGAAAATGCAAGCCCATACTATGTACCCTAGAGGGTGAAGCACATGTGCAAAGGTGACCAGCAGTCCAAAGACCCCTTTCCTTCAGCTCAGGGATCAGAGCTCCAGTAGACTGGGGAATGAAGCCTCCTGATGGGAGGTTGGCAGGGAGGTGAGAGAAGAACAAATTTGGAAAGATCCTGAGAAATCGGATAGCAGGGAATTTGAAGGGTGAATTCCACATGTCTCTAGGCATAATATTGGCCAATTATATTTTGATAAATATACCCTGCAGGTGAAAAGGAATGTTCTACATATTTTTTTTAAGAGTCAGTGCTATGTATGTGATCTAGACTAAAAGCCAGTGACCTTGCTGGATGGCCTTTAATATAACTGTAATTATACCTGGTTATCAAACATAATGTCTTTTTTATTTTCATTGTCAATCATTGAAACCCATATTAAAGAGTTTCTCCTCTGACAAAGGTCACTGCATGAACAAAGTAGCCAAGACAATTACTATGGTCCTGTTGAAAAAGAAAGCAAATAATGGACTAATCAAGGTTCCCTGATACGTAGTGCCATATTATCCAAAGTTTTTAGACTTAAACAATATTAGAATGATATGCTTAATCTTTCTAAATGTTTCAAAAGCAGTAAAGGCATATTTACATATCCAGAGCATACAATATTTATAAACCATTAAATATTTTCTGCAAAACTACTATTATATTAGTAATTCCATTATAATATAGAATTATATTAGTAACTTTTAAATTTTCAAACATTTTTTTAAACATATGTACAAAACAGCAGACTCACCAATTGCATTGACTTTACTAATCACATTTATTTTCCATTCATTTTAGTAGTACAGACTTAGAATTCTAATCCTAAACAATGAAATTTTTGTCTCACAACCCTTTCTTTAGATTTGAGACACCATAGCCAATGATGCACAATCAAAAACTGTGAGTCTGACAGTTGATCAGAACCAGGCTGCACTGTCTAATATTTACACTATAGTAAAGAATAGTTAGTGAGCTTGTAAGTAAGGCATCTGGCTACAGAAGAGCCTGAACTAGAGTTGGGTAGCAAGACATATTGACAAGAATTACAATAAAAATAGACAGTGAACTAGAACTTTGGACCCAGGATGAACCCCTTTAGGAGCATGGAATGTAGCCTCCTCCCAACTAAAGTATAGCCATTCCTTGCTAAGCTCATGAGTTCTGAGGGATTTAAAATGCAGAATAATCAAGTTTTCTTTAAAATACTAATTTCCTTTAAACCCTGCATGCTGAAGAACTGGGTAAGAAAGCCTGAGTTCCAACTGTTCATTTTAAATCCACAAACCACCACCCCACCCCACCTCACCCCCACGCAATGATAGATGGCCACTAAAAAATTGAGCAATTCTTGAGTTTCACTTGTCTACAATTATCTCTGGATTGAGAAGCCTTGTGATCACCCCCTGGGGAACCCTCCTGGAAATCCAAGAGCTCTTCTTTTTATTTTAAGAAAACTCTCTTACTTCTTCCTTTGGTTCATGATGTCATTCCTCTATGTTGCAACACCACAGCTTTGGCACATCTGACATCTGGCAGTCACACTGTAATTGCTTCTACTCGTGATCACAAGTGCGTTTCAAAACAACCCTGCTCTCTAAAGCAATCCCTGATAGCTAGGACATAAGCAACCAAACTGTGCCATTCTTTAAATCTGACTGTGTGTAAGTGTATATGGTCAGATTTTAGTTCATATATGCATAGCTATTGTATAACCTCACCTTTCAAGACCTAGTGTATAACTATGTTTAAGCCTTTTACTTTGACTGAATCATATCATTTTCAATTGTCTATAATACCTCTTGGAACATTTTCTCTTAGCTTATTTAAACACATTTTATAGAGTTTCTCCTCTTAGGGAGATAACTTTGTGTGACCAAAGATAACAAAGTAAACTCTGAAACCCTCAAAGACACAAAGTCTCAAGAAACTGTATTGTCTAATTCAGCACTTTTCACAAAAAAAGGACAGAATCATAATAATACTTAAAAAGTAGATTTTTGATGTCAGATCTGGCAAGCAAAGAATTCAGAACTTGTTATTTTCATCTTCATAACAAGAAAGAAAGTTTAAAAAAAAAAACTCTGAAAATAAGTCCTGAAGTCCATTAAAAAACTGAGGTCACAGGAAAAATCACAGACTTAAAAAGAAGGGAAAAGTAACCACTTTGGCATTACATCTAGAGGTTTCTGTTCCCATGAACCAAAGATTTCCTGGAAAGAAAACAATTTTACCATTATCAAATCAATCTAGGTTTTGCACAACCTAACCTACTAACACTTTGTGTCTTCTGTGTGAGGGAAAGGGAATATTCAGTTCTATCCAGTACTCCTCATATCTAACCAGTGGGATGAGAGGGGCCTGAGCAAGAGGTGAGAGGTTCACAGCTCAGAGGCGCAGGCTGACTAACAGACACAGTCTTGTCAGAGGACTATGTTCCTAGTGTAGGGCTCCTGTGTAAAAAACAGAGGAATGTGGCTGAGAAACACAGTCCCTACTTAAGGTATCACTAGCATAACCCAAATAAAATCAGGAAGCAAATCTAGGACACCAGAGGACATTTTGGCCTCTGAAATCTCCAGCTACAATAAACAAAGGAGAAAGTAAATAAATGAACTCCTCACCAAAGAAACACAAAACCACAGGCTAAGGCCTATTTACCTTAGTTAATATTACTTCACATAATATGTATTGCTTCAAAAAGTTAAGCAAAAGTCACACAAAATGCTAAAAGCAATTTTAAAGGTCAAACCAAACAGAATCAAATAGAGGTGTGACAGAAGTTTTGGAATTATTTGACTGGGAAATTACATAAATAACTTATCGAACTAGAAACTAATATGCTAGGTGCAAATGGTGAGCAGACAATATGTACAGAAACAGTTGTGTGATGTACTTAGATTGTAACAGAAAATCTGCCCTTCCCCCAGCTAACACACTTCAGTTTCTTAGTTGCCCAAGAAACAGTTCCTGTTCCAGTTCTAGTTACTTCTGGTCTGTGATGACTGGTTACTGTGATGCATGGCTGATCACCATGATGTGCATTGTTTAAACCAATCCCCAACTGACAAGCCCTAGACCATCAGAGATCATGACCTGATATTCTGGGAATGACCCTGATCATTGCCCATCATGGTAAATAAATCTGCCTTCAAATCCTGAGTGTTGTTTTGGTGTTTCTGCTTGCCACTGCAAAATAAAACTCTAAGAAAAGAATCAAGAACACTACAAAATACTAACAGAAATATAGACTACCTTTTTCAATATATTTGACACTTTGAATACAAGAATCAAAGAGCTGGGATAATTGTGAATAAAAACTTCTCAAATTTAAATATGCAGAGAAAACTTACACTACAAAACCAGAATACCCAAGAACTACGAGGCAATTACAAAGGGTGTGACACTGATATAATGGGAATATTTGAAGAAGACACAGATAAATTAATAAGACATATTTGAAGCTTTTATAACAGAACTTTCCAAATCAATAATAGAAAACCATAGACTCAAGCAGTTCAATTACACAAAGCAGGATAAATGGCACAACTGAGTTGAGTAACTTTATAAAGATGAGACTGTTACTTATTTCTCATTTATGGAGATTCAGGGGAATGGTGCCTGTATCAGCCCAGTTCTGTGACAGCCTCCGGGCTGTGTGATATTCTGGCAGACAGGAAAGGCAGGAACACATGTGGCAATGAGCAATCACATCTCAAACAGGAAGTCAGAGAGAAACAGAGTGGGGCCAGGATTGGGCTTTTACAACAACCCTCTCCTGAGAATTAACTAGGATGACTTCCAAGGTCATGCCCCCAGTTGACCTCAAGACATCCTGCTAGGACCTCTCTTAAATGTTCCAAATTCCAATATTTCAACCCTGAAGACCAAACTCCCAACACAATCCTTAGGGTACAAACCATATCCAATCCATACAACCCATTTAAAATGAAAGAACTCTCATACTCTCTTGAAGATCTGGAAAAGTGGGCTTCCTTAGCCCTGTGAGATTCCATATGGCTTGTCATTTTCCAGTTCCTACTGTGTCACTGAACTTGTTCCACTCAAAAAGCAAAAGATGCACATACTAACAAGACATTCCCAGCATCAAATTTCCTTTGGGACAGGGTAAGATTACAAAGGAAACCATAGGACTGGTAGTACGGTGGCAGAGCTCTTTGTCAATAGACGCCAGTCCTTTAATTTGATCCCCAAAAGTAACTGCAAAAGAAAGAAAAGGACGCAAGGAAAAAAAGGAAGGAAAGGAGATGGCGAGATAGAAGGAGGAGGAAGGAAGAGGATGGGAGAGAGGGAGGCAGAAAGGAAAAAGACAGCCAAGAAACAAATGAGTTTTTCATAGAGAATCTGTAATCAAAAGAAGTTGGATCAAAATAAAGGTAGAAATCAAAAGAAAGGTAGAAAAGGATCAAAATAAAGTTGGATCCAAAATACCAATGTGTCCATTTTTGTATAGAAGAAGATGATGCCAAGTTACAAGTCTGTTCCCAGAGACTGAACGCTATCCAAGGAGAGGATTGGAATATGCAGCAACTTCCTGCAAAGAGAAAGCGCCTTGGCCTGAAACTGAGGGGCAGAGGCAGGATTTTTCTAAGTCATGATCAGTACTCAACAGGGACCTTCAAGTTTTCTGCTTCAGGGTTACTCTCCAGAGCAAGTGCTGGCAGTGGTGGCAAAGTGAAACTGGTGGTTGGGCACAGTGATTATGAGGGCAGTGGGAGACTGAGCCCTTGTGAGGGGGAGAATCAGATTCCAGACAGAGTAT